CAAATGTGGTATGCAGAAGGTAGGCAGGTCTTCCTTTCTTGCTGTTTCATAACATGGATTTACACATGTGTGGGAATTGAGCTTGCTCCCTGTATTAGTTTGCTTTCTGTTGCCAAAACAACACAAGCAGAAGGAACTTGGGGAAGAAAGAGTTTAATGGCTGCTACATCCCAGATCACAATTCCATCACTGAGGTAAGTCAGGGCAGGAGTTCAAGTAGGAACCTGGAGGCAGGAACTGAAGAAGATAAGGAGTGCTGCTTAATGGCTTGGTCCTCAGAGCTTGGCCAGTCCGATTTCTTATACAACACAGGACCACCTACCCAGGGATGGCACTGCCCACAGCAGTGGGCATTAATCATTTGTCAAGACATTGCTCCAAAGGCTTGCCCACAGGCCAACCAAATGGAGGCATGTTCTCAGTTGATGTTCCCTCTTCTCAGATGACCATTGTTTATGTCAAGCTGACAAAACCAAAATCAAAACTAAAGCCAAAATGGACTAGCATACTTCCTGTTTCCATTTTCTGGGTCAGAACTAGTCAACTGAATGAATTAGTGACACCACTTCGGGAATCCAGGCAGACAAGAGGCCTGAAATGGAGAAGGGCATTGAAGAAGGGCAGCCTTTTCTTGCCAGCTTAGCTGCACTTGATCACTTGTGGTTTTGTTCATGGAAATAAATGTGATATTTTTCTCTCTTTCTGGGACATTGTACTAGCATCATTTTCCCCATTTGGGAGGCCAGGCCATACACACTTTTCAACATGTTATTCTGGGCTACTTGTAAAGGCAAGCAGATCCTGCCACATGATTTTGAAGGAACAATTAAAATTGCAGAATCATGGGTAGTCTTTGGCTCACAGTAAAGTAGGAACCCTCAGCCGTTTGCTAGTATGCAGTGGCATTTTTCCTGTGCGTGTTGTTATGATGTTCACGCCCTGTCTTTGATGATCGTGAGAGAACTCATCAGGAGGCAGTTAGTGTCCTACGGGAAAACAGGGACAGACCTACATCCCGAAAACTCCAAGCATTTCAGTGTCTGTACCTGTGAAGTGGGTAGATGAGACTATTCCAAGGACTCTTGACCCTGATGTGGTAGGAATGCTTCAGCCTTCAGGAACTGAGCAGTGATAAGCAGAATTTTCCATTTCATCTCTCTGCCAGCAAACTGAGAGAAACTGTGTGAAAGACTTGAGTCAATAAGGAAACTTCATGACACCCCAGACTGCCTTATGCTTCGTGATATCAGAGCAAGAATTACTGTGGGGAATCAGGGACAGACAAGAAAAAGGACAGCACTCACACTGTTCACCGTACAGCAGTGATTACAATTTGTCCAAGTGTTATTGGAAGTTCAATCTTCCATTATGTAAGTTTTATCACTTTTAAATGTGTTCTAGTTGAGTTGGCATGTTTTATGGTTTGCTCTGCTTCAGAGATAAGCACATTGTCAAAGATTAGATTAAAATTCCCAGGAGCATTTTTTTTTTTAATCTGAAAGCTAGAGGTTGAGAGTAAACACAGTCTGAGAAAAGGTACTGCCACTTAAAGTATTAGGAATTGAGCTGCTGTGTGCCAAGGACAATAGGATGGTGGTTAATTTCAAGTCTTCCTGTGGTTCACCACGAACAGAAACTCCCACAGAGGGGTGGGAAATGAGGCACCAATCTACAATCAAGACTGCAGGCTCTTCACTTAACAGATTTCTCCACTCATCAGCTTGGTACATTGTTGGCCTTGTGGGTAGACATTCCCACATGCTGGCAATTAGATCATTTCCCTTCTGTTCTGGTCACAAATAGACATGCTAATCTGCTACTTTAATTATATTTATTTGATTTTTATTATCTAATAAACTTCCATTCAATTCATGGTGACTTAAATTAATGTTTGCCTTTTGAAGCACTGAAGACACTGTAACCTGAAAATCTACAGACGGAATCAGGGAGGCTGTCATGTAACCTGTGGAATGTCTCTCAGCTCTGCATAGAGAGCTACTGGTCAGGTGTCTGGGTATTTAACTGTTTTCCATCATGACTCTTCTCACAAGATCCTCAGAGACCTTCCATCTATGAGAACATTCATTGGATTAATGGATCAGCCAGGAGGAAAATAAGGTTTCATTACTAAGGACATAAAGATGATTTTAGAGGGAGTGACCTGGAATGAATTATCTAATACATTTGTGGAAGATTTTCCAAAATGAGTGTGACTCATACATTCAAATAAAAACACTGCTTAATTTTCAAAAGATTCCTAAAGCTAATTTTCTTAATTTTAGAAACAATCTTATTTTACATATCAATACCCCATTCCCTCTCCCTCCCATCCTCCCATGCCATCCACCGAACTCCCTACTTACCCCCCTCACTCCCCAAGGATAGTGAGGCCTTCCCATGGGAGATCATCAAAGTTTGTCACATCATTTGGGGGGAGGGCCTAGGCCGTCTTCCATGTATGTGGGATGCAATAGTATCCCTCCATAGGTAATGGGCTCCCAAAGTCCATTTGTGCTCTAAGGATAAACATTGTCTCCACTGTTAGAGGCCCCATAGACTGTCCAGGCCTCCTATCTGGCACCCACATTCAGAGGGCTTGGTTCGGTCCAATGCTGGTTCCCCAGCTGACAACTGGGGTCCCTGTGTTCTCACTAGGTCTGGTCAACTGTTTCTGTGGGTTTCTCCAGCACGGTCTTGGCTCCTTTACCCATTCCTCCTCCCTCTCTACATCTGGATTCTGGGAGTATGGGTCAGTGTTTAGCTGTGGGTGCCAGGTTCTGCTTCAATCAGCTACTGAACGAAGGTTCTAGGATGGCAATCAAGACAGTCATCAATCTCATTATAGAGGAATGACATCAAAGGCAGCCTCACCACTATTGCCTAGATTCTTAGTAAGGCTGGAGAGATGGCTTAGCCGTTAAAGGCTAGGCTTACAACCAAAAAAACTAAACTTTTGTCCATCGAGGTTTTCCTATGTATTACTTGCCATGTCTTATATCACTGTCCTCCAGGGGGCGCTATACCTTCATCACAGCTCTGACTCTTCTGGCTAGTTCTTCCACCCAGATTGAAGGCAGGCCATCAGACTTTAGTCTCCTGTATGCAGAAGTTCTAGGCCCTAACACAAATTTCATATTTGAGAGTTATTTCTGAATTTTGGGGTAGACTAATACATCTCAGAATGGTTAAAGTGGCTGTGATCACACAATGGCCAACACTCTTGAGTATCATGCTGATATCTTCAGCAATCCTTTCAACAGACTATGGTTATAGTTAGTCCTTCAGGGATTTTTGAGGGTTGAACTGCGAGTTTTGACACCCTGAAGACAATCTCATGTGGGCTGGACAATTCCATGTGTCTCACAAGAACGCACTAACCCTCTTTCCTACACGGCTCTTATACAAAGCAATTTCCTTCTGCTTTTACATGGAATTGTCATGTAGGTGTTTGTAAACCCATGTGGCTGAGGAACCAGCCACCTTGTGCAGCAAGCAGAGCCTATGACAGAATGACAGGACAGGAGTGGTCCAGAGACTATGGGTGTCACTGTATGTGTTCTGAGCAGGGGTATACAGTTTTCAAAACTCTCTAAACTTAATGTTGGTGCATAAGCCATGATTCTTGCAAGTGCTGGGATCCTGAGTCTATTACATAACTCAACTATCTCATAGGGTCTTGGAAGCATTATTAAGATGAGTTAGAAAAGTATTTGGAGCAAAGTAAGCTGCTTCCATAAGTGGTGTGTGATAGACTATGGCTATTCTCCAGATTAAAGTCACTAGAGGGTCTGGACTTATATCTCACTCTCCACGTAGATTCCTTCACTGGGAATGGCTCCCCACCTTCATTCCTATGTACCCCTAACTTTGGTTCTTCATGCTTACTTGGTCACATTCATCCTAAAACAAACAAACAAGTTCACCATTTCTGCACTCCAGGAGCCAAATGTGCTTTCAGTATTTCTGTCCATAGTTGGGACATGACATCTCCTTTGTGTGGCAGACTGTATGCAATAACAAAACTCATGAAACTTCACGTTAGTGCTTTTTACCACATGAATTCTGTTTGTAAACCAATGTAGAAGGACTATCGATGAGCAGACTTCTATTCAGTAAAGGCCTGGTTCAAATTCAAGCTCTAATGCTCTCTACCTGGCAGGGGGCTGGACCTCTGCTTTATATGTACAGGCTGATGGTCACTTTCTCCTCTGTGAGAGGTTAGGGATATTAGTGGTATTGCAATCACCACACAGTGCTCCCACAGAGTGGGTGCTCACTTCTTTTCCTAGCATAGCTATTTCTGTATTCACCACACATTCCTGCCCACCATAAGGCAATCCTGAGGATAAGATACATGCCATTTTTTACTTTCCCATTGCATCCAGCACACAGTAGAAGCAAGTATTTGTTTTTTTATTGTTAACCTTCCTCATTTTGAAAATCAGATGCTAGTCAGTGGGCATCCTCACACAGCCAGTCTGGGGGAAAAACATTTATATAATCATCTTGGCTAGCTAAAGTCTGGCAGACACTCAACTGGTCAATAATTCAACTCTGCTTGTCCAGGGTGCCGCAGAGCTTGTTATGATATACCTTTTAATATAACAGTCCTTTAGAGTAGCAGGATTTCCCTTTTCGCTTTAAAGCAAGTGGATCGACTTGTATTGTTTCTTAACCAATAAGTCACACTCTTTTCCATGGTTCAAAGTTAAGCTTTTATTCAGTTTTAAATTAAAAAAATAAATTTCATTATTAAATAGTGAGATGGGTCTAACTAATGTTCAGAGAGTTTGTTACTCGGGAACCAGGGGCACAATTAATGGGGGAAGATCACCTAAACTAAAATTATTAGTGTGGTAGTATTTGTGAAAAGTTCAACAGTGCCATGATTCCAAAGAAACTAAAATACAAAGTTTTAAACGTGTACAATGGAGGAAGAAGTGAACCACTTACTCTACTACAACCAGAAGCTACTTTCCCAGTGCCAGTCAACATGGTCATTATACCACAGTGCTAACGTCATCAGGCTCATCTGCCTTCTTTTGCCTGCTTGGCAGGGATTTCAAGTATTCAAGGTGTCTCCGGGCATCCTCCTGATTCTGCCTCACATAATATACCACATAAGAGATCACCATGGTGAACCAGCCGAACATGGTGACAAGCATGGCATAGTCAGTGGTCTTTTTAGGGAGGTTACAAAGGTCAGCATCATTGGCAGCGTTGAGGAATGGTCTCCCAGCATGTTCATCCAACACTGAAGTCTTGCAAATTACATTGTGTGCTGTCTCATGATTGGATGCCATGCTCCTCAGAACTTGCTGGAGAGTGCAGTCACAATGCCAGGGGTTGTTGGCAATTCTGGCCCTGGCCTTCAGGTTGTTGAAAGCATTTTTGTGCACACTTTGAATCCTGTTGTCAGACAGGTCTAGGGTCTGCAAGGTTTCTGCTACTCCTTTGAATGCATGCTCATCAATAAACTCAATGCCGTTTTTGGACAGGTTGAGAACTCTCAGTTGATGGAGGTCCTTAAAAATCTCATTGGGGATGGATGTGATCTGATTGGAGTCCAGATAGAGCAAAACTGTTTCAGGAGGGAGATCTCTGGGTATTTCCTTGAGGTTTGCATTGCTACAGGTGACATTTAAGCCCCCAGAGGAAGAACAAAGGCAGCCTTTGGGACACATACTGGCAGAATGAAAGCACAGGATCATCAGAACAAAGCTTTGGAGGAGGAGACACATGGAGAGGGAACGGGATAGCCACAGGTCGACCAGATTCATTCTGGAATCTCAGCATAATCCCGAGTCCATTCCTCATTTATTCCGAGTGCTGCAACAGTTCTGACCACACTCTGGATTTCCTTCCTGGATGCTTCAAAGGGATGCAGCTAGCACACAGTTTTCATTATTAGTGTCCTCACTTGGAAATCTAGAGGAAAGGGAAGCAGACTCAATTAGCTCACTTGCAAGGAGAGGTACATGGCAATTAAAATGTGCCCTCAGGTCCACAGGGGCTGGAATGTGAGTTAGGCAGGTAATTTCCGCCAAGGCCACTGGAGGTTTCCTGTGTAATGGGAATCTCCTGCTGAAGTCCCCAGTGCTGGGAAAAGACTCTCAACAGAGGTCAACATTTCCACATCCCATCACCTTGTTTTCAGTCAAGGCAGAATTAGAAAAACTTACCCCAGTTCTTCTACTCCACTCGTTGGCCTTTTTATGGCAATAAAATTTAATCATGTCTTTTACCCTTCCTACAGTAACACAGGCATTATGCAATTCAATCCTGCATTGGGCAACAGCAAAAACAGATACCTACATTTCAAGGTTAATGATCATAGACAAAAATGTCTGTCATGGGCTTTGAGAAAATATTCAATGGAGAACACTGTCTCTAAAGAAACATCTAACCTAAGAAGTGGACAGTTGCCTCTGAGCTTCATGATGGTGCTGGGAGCAAACCAACAGGGGCCTCCACAGGAACTGCTTTTTTCTGAGCTCCTGAGACTACACAGTACCCAGGAGGATGCTCACAACTGCATCCCAGAGGATTCTCTATCTGTTTCCTAAACAACGTATCCTCTGCCCAGCTCAAACAAAGCACTTGCTGTATGAGTTTTTATATAAAAAAGGTAATTAAGAATACTGGCTTCTAGGACAACCCTAATAGGTTGTTTGTTCTTTCACTGATGCTTGCCTATACATACACATATGTACACACCACATATATTATTCATATACATATTGTTTATATATACTGTTACACATGTGTGTATACTTTGTGTGCATAAACACATATGTTAATGTTAGAAGCAGCCATAGAAATTCCCCAATAGTTGACTTTTTCTTTCTCGTATATATTATATATACTATATGTACACATGCACACATACACATAAACATTATTAGTTTTGGAAAAATATGGGATTAACAATATTGCCGAGTTTTCTCAATAGAAGAGAGCAGAGGAGAGAATGCAAGCCAACATTCAGAACTACCCTATGATAGTAGCTCATAGGAGGAGTGAATAGATTTTATTGAGGCATGTGTCTTCTCTAAGGTCAAATAACCTGTGGGTGTAAAGACAGGGCCCCTGCCAGGGTCTTGGCTCTGACTCATCCCTCTCTCCTCTCTTTCCAATGCCCTCACAGCTTCCTTCACTCCCATCTGCTCCAGAGGTGCAGGCAGGCTCCACAGAACACTGCTTTTTAGGGATTTTCATTACTATCATATTGTAGCAAAAATCTTTCTGCTTTGGGTCTTGAGCCATGTTGGGAACCTCATGGAGCTCAATTAATGGGGTCGCTAATGGTGAAGGAACCACAGTTTACTTCAGAAATATCCTCCCAGGATTCAGGGAACAATAAGTACCTTCACTCTCAGCAGTGAGCAGCAAACAGTTTTGTGCAAACTTATCTTTTATAGAGATCCCAGATGGGTAAATTCATAGGGAAATGATTCCAAATGTTACCAAACTCTCAAAAAAGATGATTAATGTGAGCTGGAAACATAATGAACTAAGTTGTTAATCACGAAAAAATTAGATTAACAACAACAGAGTGGTGTGGATGTGCTTTTGGAATTCTGCATGACTGGAGTGCCAGAAAGCAAGAAGGAAGGAGCCCAGCACATTGGGAAATCAGTGGGTTCCTGCTTTCCTGGAGTCCATTAAACACCAGAAATCATAAAGGAAGAACCCCCAGATGTGCCAAGCCCTCTATAAATACCTTGCTTCATTTGTGGTCAGGTGTCCTTCCCTCCCATGTTCTCCTCTGAAGCTACACAGCAACATTTGAGAATCTAATAATTATCTAGGTGGGAGAGAGACCAAAGGAACAGGGAAGGGAGGGAGCATGCAGAAATATACACTGGGGATGCCAGGAGGACACGGGGGACAAGATAAAGGGGTTTGTTGGAAACAGAGGAAGTGCATATCAATCAAGAGACTTCCAGCAACACAGTGTGTGTATGAGCCACAGATTAACTGAAAGGTGGCAAACTCTTTGGGGTCTTCACACTCTTGAGATTTTTAAGTGACTGGTTTCTGGATAGAGATGCTCCTTAGTTCAGAGTATGGATTCCTTGAGGGTATGGATTTGGGTCTGTCTCATGTGGAAATGACAGTAAATGTTCCATAAACACTATGTGGTCCAGCTTTCATCCTTATTAACATTATTCTGTCTCTCTAAATACCATTCCTTTGTCTTCAATTCGATATTACAAAGCACTTAATTACAAAGCTGATCTGTGGATTTCATGAGGTAATATATAGACAGTAAGAGCACAATACTTATCAGCTACAGTTACTATCCCCTTCTTGGATGTATGCCCACCATCTAATAATGACTGGCACATTGTAAGATATAAATACTGTTAGTGGGTGAAGTGATGTGATATTGAAAAGACTATCTATGCTTTTTATTACTCATAATGACAACTGTTACTATCTTTAACTTAGAAACCAAATCATTAAAATGTATTGGTTCCACATGCTAACGTGGTTAAGCTTGAAAAAACTGTGAGAATAGGTACTTGGGGAGATGGAAGGATGGATCTTTTTGTCATTAGACTCCTCTGGACTTGGTGGTGGTTTCTCTAGAACTGCCGTTTCAACAGCCATGGTCACACATAAGAAATGGCTCTGACTCGCACTGAGGTCTCAGCATAAAAGTGCATGCAGCCCATCTTGAGATGCGATCCTTTGTTCCCAATTGGTTATCCATGCATGGAATGCTTATTAAAAAAACTAATACAGAACATCTCTTTCTTCCAGAGATATTGGCTCCAAACTGTTTCCTTTTCTGTGATAATTGAAAAATGAAGAAAAACAAAGTCTTTTCATATTAACTAGATGGCTCAGCTACTGTGACTTGGTTCATAACCTAGTCTTGGATGTAGTGACAAGAAATACAGAATGCTGAGAGCTGCTATGGCCAGAATATTTATGGAATGTGATGACTCAGGTGTTGAAATCTAATACCAATACAAGGGTAACAGAAACATGCCTATGGAAAAGTTGTTCCCTCATGGGCAGCAATAATATCCTTGCAAACATTTCCAGAGAAATTCTTGTCTCTGTACTACAGAGAGTACCATCTTTGAGGTAGGCAATGAGACTCCACTATATACACACAAATTTTTAAACCTTGATTGATCTTGGATATCCTATTATCCATAACCATGAAAAGTTCTGCTATATCACAAGAACAAGAAGATTGACACAATGTCCAGGAGACACATAGCACAGTCAAATAATCAATTAGGTTGGGTCATTTTTACAAGGGAGGAGGGAAGGGTTTTTGATGCTGAGTAACTAGTTCAAAGTGATTGGCAGCATGGCCTGGCCTTAATTTACTGAAAATGGACAATAGCTGGTGGGCAGGTGAGGTTCCAAGAAAGAGATATTCTCTCACTGGTTATCACCCACAAAGAACAATGCTAACAGAAGCATAGAAACATGGACCTCCAAGGCTGTTTTGATCCAACTTTACACAAACTCAGCAAATAAGCTGTGATGCTGGGAAAAGAGGGTTAGCAGATTGCCATGAAAATGAGAAGGGTCAGGGTCACAGAGGGATGCCAGAGACAGCCACAGTAGTCACTGGGTGTCCCTCTGATACAGGACTGGACTCACTAGTCACTGGCTGTCCCTCTGATACAGGACTGGACTCACTAGCCACAAGCTGTCCCTGTGATAAAGAACTGGACTCACTAATGGGACAGACCAAGTTCAAAAGCACCTTTCTTAGCTCAAAGTACTTCTGTACACCCAATTCACTGGACTCCATTATCTCTCTTCACTTATCCCCTTGTCTGAGACAACGGAAAGCTGTGATATTTCCAAATGTGCTATCTATCTGTGGCTTGTGCCAAAAAGAGGACCATTTTATTCCAAGACTCATACCTTGCTTACATTTTCTAACCACATAAGCTTTTGAGTTACAAAATTAATGCTGGGGTTGTGACAGCCATCAAACTCCCTTCCCAGAATGAAGAAAAGTAAGGCTACTTAGCAGAGAGAGGACAGTTCCCTCAGCAACTGACTGATTGTCCCTGTCCAGTTTTCTATTTCTTTCTTGTGATTAAGGGATTGTCAGGACTATTGGGAGGTGCTAGCCCAAGCATCACCATTCCTTCTCAGTAACAGTGTGAACCACTGCAGGAGAAACAGATGTACTAACTGTATTCTGAACAATGCTGCTTCTGACCAAGAGGGTCTAATTAGAAGGCAAAAGTCACAGAACAAGAAAGCCTCTAAACACATAATCTAGAAGTCAAATCAATGGCACAAATATTGCAAAATTACATACATTTGTAATTTCTCTGTGTCAGAAAGTAAGACCATACACAAGTCAATGGGAAGATGGTAAGACAAAGAGCTTGGGTTTATTTTTTAACTTACAGAAAAGTCTTCAAAAGAATAAGGAACTGATTCAAGAGGAGAATGGGCAGAAATATACACATACATACAATTGTCTATATATAATATATACACATGCACACATATATCACACATGTAAATACACACATATATTATATGCCATATAAACCATAGAATATGATTACAAGTAAAACAAATTTAGTTGAGACATCTATGGTCTTTCTTTTTAATTGGAAGAACATCTAATGTCAACAGATATGAAAAGAACAAAACATTCTCAGCCCCTTTTGAGTTCAGAACAGTGAACTCTTGAGTCGTATCATCCTAAGTTTAGAGACATACTTTGCCCATGTCTCTAAACCCCAAAAATGGCTTGGCAAAGGAGGTTCTTATAGGAGAGTCC